GTACTTCTGCATTTTTCTAGTTAACTACTGAACGTTTCATTGTATTTAATTAATAGAGACAGAAAAGTTATGTCTAAATATACAAAGTATGCAAAGTGAAGAATCCAGGCATTTGTTCACTTTTTGTTTCAAATTATAAAGAAGCATATTTTAGAGAATTAAAATATTCAGATGATTGCTTTAATTTTTGCTTTTATCTGTAGACATTATATATGTAAAGATAAAGCTTTGTTGACCACTGCCTAGGTGACCCCACTAGCAAATGTGTATTATAAAATTCATACCAATTCATATCAAAGGGATAGAATTAGTAGATCCGTCCTTGGGACACACATTCTGTCCTGTAAACACATTTCAAAAAGTGATTTTAGATAAAAATATCTTTATCATTTGTCGAAAAATTAATTTTGGAAGAGATCAGTCGTCTTCCTCCTAAGAATTTCAAGTTTAAAATATTAAAATGGGCCAGGCGCGGTGGCTCATGCCTGTAATCCCAGCACTTTGGGAGGCTAAGGAGGGCAGATCACAAGGTCAGGAGATCGAGACCATCCTGGCTAACATGGTGAAACCCCATCTCTACTAAAAATACACACACACACACACACACACACACACACAAAAGCCGGGCATGGTGGTGGGCGCCTGTAGTCCCAGCGACTCGGGAGGCTGAGGCAGGAGAGTGGCGTGAACCCTGCGGGCAGAGGTTGCAGTGAGCCAGGATCACAGCATTGCACTCCAGTCTGGGCGACAGAGTGAGACTCTGTCTCAAAATAAATAAATAAATAAATAAATAAATAAATAAATAAATAAAATGTAACTACATTCATTTCGATGAACTAGAAAGGGAAAGATTTATTCAAATGTAACTATTAGCTACAAGTAAATGTTACTTGGGCAAAAGAGCTAACTTGACCAAAGATGACATTCAGATGGCCAATAAGGGTATAAAAAGTTGCTTGTCATCATTGGTTCTTAGGGAAATTCAAATTAAACATAATGGGATACCACCACACACATATTAGAATAGATGAAGTAGAAAACAAAAATTAAAAAATGAAACAAACAAAAAATGGCAAAAAGCTGAAAACGCTAAGTGCTAGCAAACTTACAAAGCAATTGATGGCAGGAGCGTGAAATAGTATGGCCATCCTGAAAAACCCTTTGGCAGTTTCTTATAAAACTAAGCAAGTGCATGTTTTATATCTTCATAGTATCATAATAGTGCTTTGCCTATGACAGGCTTTCCATATATGTATTTTAGAATAATGAAATGAATACATGACATTTCATTCTATTTTACATATTTAGGAATAGGAACCTTTGCTAAGCTTATTTTTCCTAAAACCCCATGAAGTCATGGAATTGCATTTCTAGAAATTCAGTGCAGTCCAGCAATCAATTGCTAAACATTTATCCATCCCAGAGGAATGAAAACTTATATTTTCATAGAAATCTGTACATACATATTTATAACAGCATTATTTTTAATAGCTTCAAACTGGAAACAACCTGGATTTCCTTCAGTAGATGAATCATTAAACAAATGTGGCCAATCCGTACTATCAAAGACAACTGAGCAATAAAGAGAAATGCACTATTGATACACACAGTAACCTGGATGAATCTCCAGGGAATTAATGCTGAGTGAAAAGGCCAATCTCCAAAGGTCATGTATTATATGATTCCATTAATACAATATTCTTGAAATGATAAAATTGTAGAAATGGAGAACCATTTCAGAATAGCGATTGCTAGGAGTCAGGACAGAGGAGTGGGTAGGCTTTGTCTGCCCTTTCGAACAGAGGAGTGGTGGTGGCTATAAAGGGGCAACATGAGGAATCAACATGAGGGTGATGGGAATACTCTGAAACATTTGACTGTATCAATGTCCGTATCCAGGTTGTGATGCTGTACCATAGATTTGTAAGATGTTACCATCAGCGGATACTAGGTAAGGGGTACACAGGATCTCTTTATATCATTTCTTAAAACTGCATGTGAATGTACATTTAATTCAAAATAAAATATTTAATTTTGAAAAAGTATATTAAATCATGTTGCTCTCCTGTAAACCATCCACTAGCTTCCCATCATATACACTAAGAATCCAAAACTCCTTAATGTTGCCTAATAGGACTTGCAGGAGCTGGCTCCTGATGTCCCTTCCCAGCTCATTTCCTACGATTCTCCCTCTGGCTGACTTTGCTCCTAACCACACTTGACTTCTTTTGGTTTCTCAAATACTTCAAAGGTGTTCCTACCTTAGGATCTTGGCGCTGGATGTCTCCAGCCTCTGAAATATGTTTCTCCCAGATCATAGCCTAGTTTACTCCCTCCCTTAATATAGTTGCTCTAATGTCACCTCCTTAATCTCACTCCCTTAAAGTTATTTGCTAAAATATCACTTCCTGAAAGAGGACTTCCCTGACCAGTTTGTCTAAAACAGCACACGTATTTCTGTATTTTCTGATGAGCAAAAATAAGTTGAAAAAGCATACATACCTTTATGAGAACATTTGTGTGTAAAATGTAATGCACCAAAAAGTCATTATATATTGTTTAATCCTACCAGGCAGGTAAGTGGATAAGGCTTTTATGGGGTAATACTGCATTATGAGTAAGATAAAAGATAAGGAGTACCTGATAGCCATTAGTGTTTTTGCAGAAAATGTGAGTGTGTGACCTAAGAAAAATGTTTTGTAGGCACATTTGGTAGCAACTTCTTTCAGTTGAGATACAGTTTCTATTTATTTAAGTTGTCTTACTGAGAAATTAGCTGCTATGTGCCTGTCCTTATCAGAAAACACTAAAGCTTGAACTCTACCAGGAAACAGAAGACTATTTATTAGTACCAAAGAATAGGACTAATGATTTCAAACTGAAGTAGTACAATAAGTGGTCCATTAAATGCTCTTGAATTTACATGCTTTCATTTTATTGCTGTTATTTCATTAACTCCTTGATGGACACTTGTTTTGGAAAAATCATCTTCTCAATGCAAATCCTAGGACTGCTTCTCCTTGAGGTCATTCAAACTCTGTGTTATTCATTTTCCATTTTCATGGTAGTATCACAGTGCCTTGCATGTTAAAGGCATCCCATACATATATTTTAAAACAAAGAAATGAATAAACAAAGGACATTTAATCTTATTTTACATATTTAGGAATAGGTATCTTTGATAAGCTTATTTTCTCTGAAACTTAATGAGGTCATGGAATACTACACTTCTGGAAATCCTTTAATGTAGGAGTCAGTGGGAAACATGCATATCTACTGAGGATCATGAAGGCTAATACACTGCACTCAAATATTGAGGGACACAAAGAACCCTTTTATTGCCTGCATTGCAAATTATCTGTTTCTGCAATAGATTTCTGTGACTAGATGATGGGCTGTACTATACTTTAATTCCTTGCTTCTGGCAGGTTCCAACACACAGGGGTAAGAGCATGAAACAATAAGTAGACAGCTATAATTATTTGGTTAGGGATTGCATAGGGTAATATTCAATGTCCCTCAGGAAATCGGCACAGCACAATATAATTGGCTTTATTTTATTATGTTTGTAACGTTCATGCTTCCCTAAGTCAGCTATGCTTTATTTGATTGCATTGAGACCAAAAATATTTAAAGTATTTGTTGACAGAGAAGGCGAACAAGCTATTACCTTGTATGAGTGGGTAGCTTGAAGTGTTCACGTCTCTAGTTTTGCCAAGTGTTTACATTACGGATATGCTGAAAACCCCTGGCAGGGGACAAGGACAGTGTTTCTCAAATTTGAGCTTAAATGAGAATCACTTGGAGTATTTGTTAAAATTCAAGATTCTTAGGCCTTATTTCCATAGATTCTGATTGCAGAGGACCAAAGCATGCACAAGATATTGAATCTCTAACAAACTCCCAAACAATGGTGGTTCACACACCAGTCTTTGTAACACCACGCTAGGCTGACCAGTTAGTAGAGATAGGGGCTGCTGGTCACACATGTGGCTGAAGTTAGGTGGAAATCAGCTGGAAGCCTGAGCTGAGGCCAGAGCAGGAAGGCCTGCATCCTCCCCAGGAAGAAACTGCGACTTCTCTGAAGACAGATGATGAATGTGAAGCTAATTATATGGTAGTTGACTCAGAGGATAATGCAGATGATTTATGGAAAGTTGTGCTACAAAACAGGGCAGAAATATGAAAACAGCAGTGAGGCAATGACGTGCGTGGGACGTCAGACCAGAGCCAAAAATTTCTTGTATTGCATCTGAACCTTTGAGCACTTTGTCTTGGGGAGACAACCAATTGCCATTAATGTTGGAAAACAAAATTATCTGACGCTTTTAGACAGACTATGTGATGTGTAAATGAATCATGGTGATAGCTGTGGCAGACTCTCCAAGTTGCTTTCCCAATGTCTTTTCACCCCTTTACCAACAGAACCACCATATCATATCAATTGGAAACAAATGAGAATTGGTTTTATGCACCAATGGCACTAACAATGGGGGCAGGCCTTACTGAGCATGGCAATGTGCCCAGTTATAAAATTTGATTCCTCGGCCTCCTTTAAAGCTGCATAGATCTGCATGACAGAGTTCTAGCAAGTAAGAGATAACCAGAGCTCTACTAAGCAGGCTTCTGGGAATCCTATTGTTTTCCTGACTTAAGGAAATGAAAGGGCAGACTTATCTGTATTGCACCCTTTGCTATTTCCTCTCCCTCATTTCCTGGAATGTGGTTATAAGGCGTGGGTGTGTAGGAGCCATCCTGAAAGCATTAGGACAAAATCCAAGTGAAAAGATGGAGGGAGCCTGGGACTTCCATACTAGCCCCAGGCTGCCCACCCCAGACTCCTGTTGCCTACAAAGAGTATATTAATTTGCTTAAGCTGCTTTTGTATGCCTATTATATGGAGCCATACAAAATTCCTAACAGATGAAATGGGTATGATTTGTTAAGAATTTACTACATGCTAGCCACTTTTCTAAAAATTGTGTATATATTATATATCATTGAACTCTGACAGTGGCCCCATGAGATATATTGTTCTATTTTACCAAAAGCTCTAAGAAGAATCAATAGCATTTTAAAATGGACTTTTAATAATGCCAGGGTAAATTTCTGTGGGTAAATTTAAATTTTATTTATTTTAACCTGACAACTCCTCTCCTAAGATAGTATCTTGACACTTATTTTACACATAATGTATTTTATGGTGATTATATTCTATGCCTATTATATGGACTTGAAATTATTAATATTCATCCTCCATTGGGCTGAAAAACAGGTGAAGTTTACTACCAAAAACAAACAAAGAAACAAACAAAACCCAGTTTTGATTCTTGTAACTTGGGTGTAAACTATAGAGAGAATCTGGGTTGAGTAGACTTGACCTCATTGTAGGTGCTGTAAGTATTATATATAATATAGCTTACCCATGCATGTTATGAAATTAATATTATATTCCAGTGGTCTGGACAGTTTCATTATTTTTGTATTGCAATTGCCCATGTGAAAAATCTGTCTGTGCTGTCATGTTTCTTTCTTTCCTCTTCAGAGAAAAGTGATTAGAACATGAAGTGGAGCAAATTGACCTGACCCTCAGAGATAAATAAAGGAAGAAATTAGCTTGCAAAGAAATGGTTCACACTATCTAGAATTTATTTGCAGCTTAAATATGAGGGTGGGAAGTTAGGGTCTTGGGAGACAAATTGAGAATCTAGCTTTAAATTAGATTTAATATCAGACTGAAATTCTAGCCAATTATCCTCAAAAGAACTGAAAATTTATGTGGCACTCAGTGTTCCACAAAATCGTTATTAAAGCCCAACCAACAGTTTTCATGAGTCCCACAGCCTAGTCCCCTATATGGAGATCACAGAGTTTACAAAATCATGTCTTCTGAGTCCACATTAGGTATATCTGAGGCATAATCAGGGTCAAATCAGAGAATCATCAAAATTTAAAGACCTCATAGTATCTAGTTGAAGGTAATAATTTAGAAATGAAAATAATGTAGCTGAGAGGTAGAAGTCACCCCTCGACTTAATGTTCTAATCACTTTTTTTTTCTACTATTTAAGCCAGAAATAGAGTTAGGGGCTCCTACGTCTTAATTTCTAGTGTAATCTTTCATGGTCTCCTATGAAAGATTTCTGCCATAGTCAGTTTGGCTGCTATAACAAAATACCATAGACTGGGTGGCTTACGCAACAGACGTTTATTGCTCACAGTTCTAGATGCTTGGAAGTCCAAGATCAAGGTGCCAACTGATTCAGTTCCTGGAAAGGACTCTCTTCCTGGCTTACAGTTGGAGATGGCCATCTTCTTGCTGCATGAAGAGGAAGAGGGAGAGAGCTATCTCATGTCTCTTCTTATAAGGGCACTAATCCCATCCTGAGGGTTCCACTCCCACAACCTAATTACCTCCTGAAGGCCTCCAAATACTATTACACTGAGAGTCAGGGCTTCAAAATATGAATTTTGGGGGGACATAATTTAGCCATAGCAATTTCCCTAGTATTTTTTTCATATTCTAAATCTCACTAGATGGGTATAATTACAAGCAATGAATAACTTTCAAATGTGTCCTGTGTTATTTTTTTTTTTTTTTGAGATGGAGTCTTGCTCTGTTGCCCAGGCTGGAGTGCAATGGCCGGATCTCAGCTCATTGCAAACTCCACCTCCTGGCTTTATGCCATTCTCCTGCCTCAGCCTCCCGAGTAGCTGGGACTACAGGCGCCTGCCACTTCGCCCAGCTAGTTTTTTGTATTTTTTAGTAGAGACAGGGTTTCACTGTGTTAGCCAGGATGGTCTCGATCTTCTGACCTTGTGATCCGCCCATCTCGGCCTCCCAAAGTGTCCTGTGTTTTTGCTAAAACCAAATCCGTATCCCAAATGTGGTCACATATGGTATCATTTTCCCTCAAGAAAAATAGAGAAAAACCCCTGCTGAGATGCAACCTCATGTTCAAAGAGCCTGCTGCCCAGGTCATACCAGACTACACCCAGAGACCTCTACAACATGGAAAAGAGTGAGCTCAGAGGGATGGTCTAAGCTTACATCCAACCCACTTCCCAACAACCTCTGTCAGCCTCAAATTCAAGGTAACACTAACAGTGATGGTATAAATCCCAGTTCCAAGGTCAGCCAGTAACTCTTTAGAGGCAGTAGACAGAAGGCAGTAGTTTAGGTGCGCACTGGTGCAACTGGGATCACATGCCGGCTCCACTAGTAACTTGTTTTTAAATTTATCTTTGAGAAAGTCGCTTATTGTCTCTGTGCTTTGGCTTTTTTCCTCTGTGAAACAGATCAAACAATATTAACGCCATAGAGTTAAAAGGATCAAGTGAATGACTCACGTAAGTGTGATCCATGTTTGATACTAGCACTGAGTCTGTTACAGTCCTTAATGCAGGCAAGACCAAGGCTCAAGCCAACCAAAAACTTATCATCCAGTTCCCATCAAAGATGAACTCTTCACATTTCTTTTCTTTAACCAATGCTTTATCCATGGTTGGATTTGGTGACTTCTGAATAGTTTTATCTTTTTTTTGCTCTCATTCCCATTTGTTTTGAAGATCTAGAGAGTAGACAATACCCAGCCATTTTCACCATCTGCACGAATATTTTCTTATTGATGCACATGTCTATAAATCATTCTGTGTGCCTTTCTCCGTATTCTGAGAACTGCCTGTATTTGAGGGTAGAGGTCATTGAGTCTTTGGGGAATCTGATAGTAGCCATTCTTCTTCTCTCTCCCATCAACACTGCTACTACATATATATCTGAACAATTGCCATATGATTTTAGAGGCCCAGCACTTCCTGATGCCTTCATGGACCCTCTGGAAAAGTCTGTAGTGATAAAGTCTTCTATTCTATGCCTACATACGCTTCTTAAAATAAAGACGGTTTCCAAAGGATAGTTTTTTTTTTTTTTTTTTAATTTAAGCTTTGGCTCGTATATAATTTAAGAAAAAAATTCGTGAAAGAACATAAGTGATTTGTGCTCAACATCTAAAGAAAAGACACATTTCTCTTCAACTATCTTTCCCTTTTTGGTGATTTTGGACTTCCTGGGCTATGCTGAATGTGATAATATTCTAAGCTAGCCAAATCTCTCTTAAGGACCTGCCAATTTTCAAAGCAAAGTTACGTAATTATGCATTTCCAACAGAAGAAAAAGTTAAGGTGCATATGAAAACATGCTGAAAAGTGTAGAAATGTTATCAAAGACAAATTATGCATTTATCACTTCAAAATCCAGAGAGTATAGAACTGCAGTGCTTATTTATTTGAATTGTCCGCCTGATGTGTAACTGTTAAAGTACATTAAGCAGAGGCCTTATGTCTGCTTTGGGTGACAGCTGGGAAATTTTAATTCATAGACTGCATAACAGAACCTGGCCAACTTCAAGGTCAAAGTCAGAAGTCATTATCTCATGGCCACTGTTGACTCAGTCCGACCTTGCCCTTTTGACTTATGGAGCTCACTCCATGTGACATACCTAGTCAGTATGCAGTGAGATCTGTGAAGTCAAACTCTTGTCAAAGCCCTGGCCATCGTATGTTTTTCAGGTAGGCAGTTGGAGTAGGGGATAACTGGATTCTTGTTTCTATTTGGGCAAGTCACAACTTCTGTGGGCCCCAGTTTATTTTTCTGTAAAGTGGCCAGATTGAATCGCTTACCCCTCAGGTCCCAGTGATGCTCTTCCTGATCTTCCTAATGATTCATCATCAGCGGCTGATGATTGATTGCATGTTGTTTCTTTTCCCAAAAATAATAATAATTGTCAAGAGCCTGAGATGTATCAATACCGGGCACTGATCAAAGCACATTACGTTTTTTTTTAAAAAAATTCTCACAACGACTTTATGTCATAGGTGCTCTCATTATCCCCCCACACTTAGAAAGATGAAAAAACCTGCAGATCAGGAAAGTTCAATAATTTGCTCAAGGTCATACAGTTGGCAAGAGGCACAGTGAGGCTTCAAAACGAAGGCTGTCTGGTTCCAGAGCCAGCACAAATAATGACTCTACTGTTGGAGCAAAGCAATAATAGTTTCTAGTTAGGATCCTTACATCAAGTTGCTTATTTTCCAGTGTATTTTCTTGGATTTGAGACATTTAACCAAAATTTACACACTTCGGACTTAAACCATCAAAAAAAATTGTGCCCCTAAAAATCACTTCATATAATGAATTCCACTTTTAACTAAGCTCTTCCCATGTCTCCATATCAGCTTTCTGTTACAAATACATTGATTGCCGGCTGTATAGGGTTTCAAAATAAAATATAATTTAAACTGGAAAGTTTCGGTTGTTATTTATGTGACCAAACTTTGAGGTTGCACTTTTCATTCAGCTTTTAGGTGTGCTGATAGCCAAGATCTTTGCAAGCTCATTTTTTATAAGAAATAGGCTACTAGCAAAATACAAGTGTTGTTTAGAAATACTGAGAATATACTGTTTCCACCAGGAGAAAGGCTAAAATATTAAATGGAATTAAAATACATGTAAACAATGACATGATACATAAGAAAACTTCTAGAAAAAAAAGAACTTTAATTTTAAATTAGAATTACTTATATACCAGTCAGATGCTCTTCATTCATCTTTTCAGCTTGGTGTATTATAAACTAGGGGCCATCATCCCAGAATTTTATAGTAAATACACTTTTAAGATGTCTCACTATAGAGCTTTGAAGAGGGGTTACTAATGAAAACAAAACATAATAAAAGTAGACTGTTTCAATGTTTTTGGGATAATGGGATAGAGTAAAAACAGCATTTGGATGAGGGGTCAGAAGTATGATGTCTCTCTTTGGAAGGACCCAGGAACTGCAGAAACTGCACCCTAAGCAAGAGGCACAGGTGATCCCCTGGGGTCAGGCAAACACGGGAACCACTGCCCTGCTCCACAGCACTCTCTCCTTTAGACTCTGAGCACTTCAATGGTGCCATGGACCTCTAATGCAGTGGAATACACAACAGTTTAGTCAACTTCCTACCTGCACTACTAACTTGCCAAGCTATTTCCTTGAGGCTCACTTATCTCACCTGTAAAATGAAGAGACAGGACTGGATGGTTCTCGAAGGTCATATCTATGTCCAGAATTCCAGTTTTGAGTCTAAAATTATGCAAAGAATTAAACTCTGAAAGGTGCTTTGGCATATATCATTCTAATTCATGACTCTTCTTGAAGGACCTCTGGTTGGTTGGTTGTTTTTTCCAGCTGTATTGAGATATAATTGACAAATAAAAGTTGTATATATTGAAGGTATACATGATAATGTGATATACATAAGCCTTCTGAAATGATTAGTCAGCAATAAAAAGGAAGAAAATTCTGCCATTTGTGACAATCCAGAGAACTTTTGTTTTGACCATTAGCTCTCTTTTAAGTCAGTGGGTGCTCTGAGAAAACATAACCCACTTAGTTTCGAATAATACTCTGTGGGTCTTCTATCCTGCACCAGCCACATTTATATGCTAGGAGAAGAATAAACTATGTATAATGACTGTCATTTGTTAAAGTCTGCTGCATTTCAGTTATTCAGTTGTTCTTGTCTGTACTTTTCCCTCTAAGGATATTCCAAAAATTTATATATGTTAGTATTTAATTCTGGTAAACAGATCAGATTCTTGGCATTGGGTTTTGTTGGGGTGAGGGGAATTGGCAGGGCAGGGAGGATTACTAAAATAAAATACAGATTTTCAAAAGTGTTTATTGTGTTCTAGGCATTAGGCAAGGTGCTCTGCATGAAGAAACCTATTTAGTGAGCAGACCAGCCTTGGAAAAACCCACAACCCTCAAAACATGTTCTATGGGTTCCCCCTGTCCTGCCCCGACATGAATCAGCACCACAGATTCTTTGAGTAATTTTAGATATTACAGTAATTTCACTTTAAGGTATTAAAAAGTACAACCTGATCTAAACCAAAATTTTCATCAGAGACCCAATTCAAAGTTTCTTTCCCATCAAGCCTAGTCCAATTTGGAAACTGTAGGGGGAAAGCGGGGAGTGGTTCCTTTCCTCTTCTCAACAAACTAGTTATACACACACACACACACTCACGCACACACACACGGTTTTATATATATCCACACACACACACACATATATATATATAATGAGGATTGAAAATTTTCAATCCTCATTTATGACAATCTCTTAAAGTAGGCTTGACTATTCCCATTTTATAGAAACTACAACTGAAAAGACATCATACATTTTATAGGGTTTGACCCAAGGATTTTAAAGCAGATTGTTTCCACTGCCCTATTTTACCTCTCAAAATGTCAGTTACCCACATGGTTGAGTTGTGTGGTGTCTATGTGGTGATTGGATTTGCTTCTCTTAAATTATGTTTCCAAATGAAAGAAGATCAAATAGTTTAGTTATGTTGAAATACTTTTTGTGTATCTGCATGTGTTTGACAAGGCACAAGGCTGTTGCACCCTGAACATACCTCTCATAACTCAGAGGTATCCAGGATTGATGCAGAGGGTGACTGTGACTCCCGCTGTAAAATGTAGATACTTTGTCCAGGACCAGCACATGCATATAAGAAACACAGGATCTAAGAAATACGTGTCATATATAGAAATCATTTTGTAGATGACATAAATCAATCAGTAATTGTTAAAGTACATTTCGTGGAATAGGAAGCAGGACAATGATAGTACACGCAAGTTGCAGAATAGATAAGAGTAAGTTTGGGAGGATACAAAGTGTTGGCATTTTTCAGAATAAAATCCCACTCATAAATATTTGAGGGACTCTAGACGGGGAATATAGAAATAGTATATTGAGATCAGAATTGAAAGTGGGGTAATTTCATGTATGTGATGTATATTATTTAGTAAGAGCAATGAGTATTTGAATGTTCTAGGTGAATCATCCCTGTGAATATTATACAAAGATTTAAGACTTTGAGGCATCATTTCTCTCACTCTTCAGGAAATTGATTTAGAGGTTGAGTCATTGCTTTGTCTTTTTGAAGTATAGATTAATATGTTTTTAGTAAATCCAGTGATTCCTGGATTTTTAATTGAAAGCTAAGTATTATGGTTGGATATAAACCAACCAATTTTTAATGAATTCCACTTGGGAAGTTTTTATTTGTCCTACAGAAGAGAAAGCAGTGGGAAATGGCGTATAATGCCAAGAAATCATGTTTCCTGCTTAATCCATGTGAAAAGTATATGGATCACAGTCAAAAAGGTTTGTTCAACTACAAATGGAGTACAGAAGACCATGTGGTCAATACAATATGATAATGCAATATTTAACACTGTAATACAGTTTTCAATAGTATGAAGTTCAAATAGGTATTAAGATGCTTTAAATTGAATAATACAGTGTATTTTAAGTGCAGAGAGGTCTTTCTTACAAAGAAAGGACACGGAAAACTTTGGAAGGTAAAGACACAAAGTATAAGATTTATCTTGTGTTGGTCTTTAGAAATTTGAATTCTCTTTCAAACTAGGACAAGTCTTGGGATGAAACACATACATTTTAAAAAAAAAGGGTCTTTATAAACCTGAAGTCTAACTCAATCCTGAGTCATATGATAGACAACCAAAAGCACCATGACTTTATGCATCTCCATTTGTTTCCTTAAAGCTCAGAGGATCCCTCTGAATGCGTTCCTCAAACCTCGTGGTGAATCCAGCACCTTGAGGATCACATTGAGGTTTTTAAAGTGAGCCTAAAAACTCTATCACTACAACTTAGGCTTTTCTTTTCCCTAAGTACTTTTCTCATGCTCCCCTCAGGCAAGATTTGCTGCAAGCACAAACCTGTCTCAGGCTCAATACCTACCTTTCTGAAAAACATTTTTTGTGAAAATGGCTTAGTGTCCATCCCGTATCCTATTATTTTCAGCTCGTTGAGACATGGCGTTGAATATATCTCTTACATGGCATTGCATATATCTCTAAAAAGAGAAACATTTTTTCTCCACACCTAATTTTCTTCCCCTTTATCAATTCTTCCTTGACTATACCTTTACTTAACTCCTGTGTCTGCAAGGCTTTTAAAATTCCTTTGTAAAGATACATTTTAAACTTTCTGTATATTGTAATTTAAGTTTTCTGTTTCTTTCTCCCATCTGCTAGTCAAATTTTCTTCTCAGCAGAAAACCTCACCATTGCTTCATTTCCACACATGGCAGGCATTCAAGCGTAGCAACTGGGAGTCACAGTTGTACTGAAATGAGAAGGAAATGTGCTTCCCAACACAGCGTCAGCATCTCCCACCAGAGGCCATTTGTCTTTTTTTTTTTTTTTTTTGGGGGGGGGGCTTTTCAGCAAATGACTGCTAAAACAAAGTCTCTCAAAACCCATATCAGTAGCACTCCAACCCTTGTTGCACAAAGCATTACAGTGAGTCATGGAAGGGTTTCTAGTCTATTAAAAATATTTCTCATGGTGCATCGGAGATGAATGTATCTTCTAAGCTTGCTGTGATTCTTCCCCAGCCTTCTCATTTCCTACTACATTGACTCCTCTGTTGGCATCAGCTTTCCCCTCTGGTCTCTTGGGCGGGTTCCTTTCCATTCTGCTCAAGTCTAGCTCTTTCAGCAGGCCCCAGCTGGCCCACCGAATTCCTTGTGCAGCCTTACCCTGTGGCACTGTGGAAGGACAGGGCTTTCCTGGCACAGCTTGGCTCTTTGTTGCACCAGGCAGCTTCCTTCCATCAGCCTTTTGCCCTTAGACTCATTTCGAAGAGAAAGTCCCTGTATTTCCCCAAGCCCCAGAGGACCGAAGTCACTCTTTCTGAGGGGTTCTCTGAAGCCTCCCTTATTCAAACTCTGTCAAAGACCAAGGAAATTCTGTGACATTCAACCTTCCCTCTAAACTCTAAAAAACCCATTGCTGGGCCGGGCGCGGTGGCTCAAACCTGTAATCCCAAAACTTCGGGAGGCCGAGGCGGTGGATCACTTGAGATCAGGAGTTTGAGACCAGCCTGGCCAACTTGGTGAAACCCCATTTTAAAAATGCAAAAATTAGCCAGGTATGGTGGCAGGTGCTTGTAATCCCAGCTACTTGGGAGGCTGAGGCAGGAGAATCGCTTGAACCTGGGAGACGGAGGTTGCAGTGAGCCCAGATCACACCACTGCACTCCAACCTGTACCACAGAGCAAGATTCTGTCTCCAAAAAAATAATAAAAAAGAACCTATTGCTGCCCCAAATTCTCAACACATGCTAGACTGGACTGGCAAGGGTTGAGAATTCAGACTGGAGGTGCAGGGAGGTAGGGCAGGTGGGCTGATCTTGGCAGAGTTCAGTTTTGATCACCCCCTTAGCAGGTCCTGCACTGATGACCCGGCAGCTTCATTAGCGTGTGAGGAGATTTGACACGTGTTTTCCTCAGTTTTGGGACCTCAGCTGAAATTCCAAAATAGGAAGTTTTTGTTTTGTTTTGTTTTGATTGTTTTGTTTTATTTTCCTTTGTCATGTAGCCTTTTTTTTTTTTTTTTTTTTTTTGAGATGGATTCTGGCTCTGTCACCCAGGCTGGAGTGCAGTGGCGTGATCTCCGCTCACTGCAAGCTCTGCCTCCCAGGTTCACACCATTCTCCTGCCTCAGCCTCCCTAGTAGCTGGGACTACAGGCGGCCGCCACTGCACCCGGCTAATTTTTTTGTGTTTTTGGTAGACACAGGTTTTACCGTGTTTACCAGGATGGTCTCGATCTCCTGACCCCATGATCCACGTGCCTCGGCCTCCCAAAGTGCTGGTATTACAGGCGTGAGCCACCACGCCCGGCCCCTTTGTCATGCAGACTTTTAAAAAAAAGTTTTAGGTACTCAAAATTATCAATGTAATTTATGGCTTCTAGATTTTATGTTTGCTTAGAATGGCCTTTCCCACTCTATTTTAGTTTACTGGGGTTATTGTAAAAAAGTATCATGAACTGGGTGACTTAAACAACAGAAATTTATTGCCTCACTGTTCTGGAGGCCAGAATCTGAAATTATGGGGCTATCAGGGGCATGCTCCCTCTTAAGCCTCTAGGGAAGGATCTCTTCCAGGCCTGTCTCCTCGCTTCTGTTATTTCTGTGGCTTGAGGCAGCATAACTCTAGTCTTCGCGTGGTGTTCTCCCAATGTGCATGTCTGTGTCTAAATTTCCTTTTTTTATAAAGACACTAGTCGTATTGGATTAAGGACCCATCCTACTTAGATACGACATCATTCTAACTTAACAAATTATATTCGTAATGACCT